TGGGGGAAAACAGTTTGTTTGTGACTCCTCAGACTGATGAAGCCCTTTGGATGGAGGGCGAAACGTCTCAACAACATAAAGAAAGAAACTGTCCGGATTAACCTGACTGAACATTATGGGATTATTTTACCTGGATGAACTCGTTTTAATAGCTGAAGTACTTGTATATCAAATAAGGTCTACTGTTTCAACCAGTTGGAGATACTGTTAAAGACAGATTAAATCCTGGTTTACAGTCACTGTTCTCTGGTTCACAAACATCGTACGGACGCCACAGCACCGGTCATGCAGGTAGTGTGTTGTTTGGCTGCTCCTGCATTCTTAAGGTAGAATTATTCCAGATGTTTTCATAAACTTCAAAAACTGCTTCGACGAGGCAAAATGCTTCAGTTCGATTTTGTATGAAGAATGACCTTCCTGTGCCTGGCTCTTCTTGTGCCATCCGTGCTACATGCCAGCAGCAACAGATGTTTAGGAGACTGCAGCACGTCTGAAACACGGTAGAAGAGGCAACCCTGCTCGTTGACGTCTCCTTACGATGCAGATCAGCCAGAATATAGATGTCGTCTTTGCAGGCTCTTGATGAGATTACCAGTGGTGTATTGAGAACATAATGGGCTCCCGTTACTCATGACGTAACCAGTCTATGCTGGTTCTGAGGCAGCGTATCCATGGAGTGGAGCCTAGTTATGAGGTGGATTAGTTGTTGAGGATTTGAAGGACTGGCCTCATGCCTCTGTTACAACAGTAATCACATGAAACTCATGGAAGCAACGTGGTGCAGACACAGTACCTGTGACCCAACGTTGTGATGATCTTCTAGCCTGTAGCTACATCCTTACACGGTTCAACAGAATCGTGTTAGAGATCACATAAAGAGAAGCAGATCACCTCTGGGACGCAGAAAATACTGTTAAGCACCAAGAGTATCAGTGTTGTGGTTGCATTCCTACTGAAGGTTTGCCATATTTGTCACCATCCAGCCACGTTCTCATCGGTTGTGACTGAGCAGGAGATAGCTCAATGGATGGCAGCTCTGTCTGCAGTAATGAAGGTGTTGCTCCAGTCTGTTAAGCTGAAGAAAAAGCTGAGTAAAATGTCAGACCTCGATTTAGTGGTCCATCTACAGTCCAAAGCTCTCCTACGCTCATGGATCGTGACAGAAAGAATGAGATCCTGGATACGAGTGACTGAAATGAGGGCGGCTGAGCTCAGCCTTAAGGCGAGGAACTCGGAGTAGAGATGCTGCTCTTTGGCATCGAAAGAAAATCAGCTGAGGTGGATGGACGTCTCTTACTGGAGGTTCTCCAGACACATCCTACTGGGGAGAACTTTCTGGAGGCATCACATAACCTCTGTGGAGCTGGGGAGTAGGATCTCTGATACCCGTCACCTACGGTACAAATGGAAGAGAATGGGCAGATGGAGTGAATGTAAAGGACTCACCGATGTGTGAAGGGTCTAAATTGTTGCCACACGTGAGCCGAGGGTGTCTACTGGTGCTAAAGCTATAGCCAGTTCCAAATTAGATTATTCTTTTTTTTCATTGTTGTGTCTCAGGAGTCATACATGGGTGAAAATGACTGCTGCCTTTAAAATGTTGCGTTGCCTTCCATACCTGGACATTATGGAGCACCTGTTTGTTTTTGGTCACCAGGAGGCTTTAATGGACCTTCCACTGCGGACCATATCTTACATAGCTGACATTGGGAACATGGTGGTTCTGATGGCGAGGGGCAAGATGGTGCGATCCCGCAGCGCTCAGGAGAACCTGGACCACACAGCCGAGCAGACCAGCATGACCCACGATGATCGCAGGATGTACAGAATGATCTGCCACGTCTTCGAATCTGAGGATGTGAGTGACGTTAATGTTAACTTTACTTTAGATATAAAGGATGTTTTAAAGTTTACTTTACAATCTGGTAAGATTTTAAAATTAACTTTAAAATATGCAACTGAATGCCAATACTTAACCTTATTTTAAAAAAGCCCCACCAGCCTCCTGCCACTTTTAAACATGGCGGCGCCCTACACTTTCAAACACTAGAGGCCGCCATTGGAGCACCAATCATTGTCACGTCATCACGTCTCCGCCATATTTCAGCTCCTTAAACACAAGTCCTTTACATTTATTTTTTTACAGAGTCCATTATTCAGAGTTTAAATAAAACGCTTACAATATTAACGTTAATAAAATTTGCATATTTGTCTAGTTTCATACGATAGAACATAGATTATATGATATCTATGCGATAGAACCCCCTTAATGTCCGCTTCCGGTAATGGTGAGTTAAATGACAATTGAAAAAAATCGGAATTGTTACGCACCTGTTGAGGAAAAATACGTAAAAGTCGGACATTTTGAGTGAGATTTTCTTTTGGTAATATAGCATTGTTGTCAAAAATGTTGGTTCACTCTAGTAGCTACTTTTTGATTTAAATTTAGGGATCTTTACTAATGCTAATAGATTTTAGCTTATGATCGAAAGTAATATCAAAATGTGTGAAGTTCTAACTTACTAGATTTAGTGAAGGTAGCATAATACAAGCTTTAATTAAGGACATCAGACACCTGTTAGAGCAATTTATAATAATACAAATAATATCAATAATAGTAATAATAATGATAATTTACTTCATGTTGATTTCTTTGTGTTGTTTAGTTACTGTTGACTTTAGACATCCAAATATATAATTAAGCATACCTTCACTTTAAATCTTAGTTTATCTGTTAGACGAGATGAGCCATTTCCTTAAATCTAACCTTAATTAAAATAACTGATTAGCAAAAACTGTTATATAATGCTGGGAAGAGGTTAAAGTAAGAAAATTTATATTTTTAAATGTACTTATTTTCCCATGTGCTGTTTAAAGCGCAATTAAAATAATTTTGATTAAAAATAAATTGTACATTGCTGTACACAAGTCTTCAAACATATTTTATTTTTTATATTTAACTTCCAAGGCACCAGACTTTCTAATCATCTTTTAAAGTTGTCCTGATCAGCAGACTCTGAAGGTCTTTTAAAAGTTTTTCTTGGATATTTTTACCTGCTTCTCACATGTTTTTAGTCCAACACAAACATCTGGACATGTTCAGATAACTCAGTAAAGTTTAAAATTCTCTTTCAGAACAGCGAGGATACCGAACAGACAAGGCAGGCAGATATGTGTAAGACAATAAAAAATAAAAGAGAAAACATTTTTTTATATTTTACAACAGTCCATTAAACATTAAAAGCCCATAACTTAAGAAATGTCTCATTTTTATAATGAATGTATGAAAAACCTAAACTTTTCTCTTATTTTATTGAATCTACAGAATTTGACAGTTGAAAGGTCGATTCCCAAAAAACATTTCCTTTCAAGCTCGTCCAATCTGTACATTGTATATTGTTTTTTTTAAAATAAATTAACTTGTTTTTAAACTCGGGGCTCAGTGAGGTGGATTGTGCTTCTGCTCCTCAGGCCCAGCTCATCGCCCAGTCCATCGGGCAGTCCTTCAGCGTGGCCTACCAGGAGTTCCTCAGGGCTAACGGCATCGACCCCGAGGACCTGAGCCAGAGGGAGTACAGCGACCTGCTCAACACTCAGGACATGTACAACGACGACCTCATCCACTTCTCCAAGTCAGAGAACTGCCGAGACGTAAGTCAACCTGCAGGTGGTCCCACCCTGCAGAGAAAACTCGTTTTGACCGCTTGGATCAGTTTTTCAATCGTACAGGGTTTGTGACCATATGTGAGGGTAGGATCGTGGACCTTCTCCTTGCAGCTACGCTCCCTCTTGAGTCTGACTCAACCCAGTTCGGTTTGTCCGCCTCCAACCCTGCAGGTGTACATCGAGAAGCAGAAAGGCGAGATCCTGGGCGTGGTGATCGTAGAGTCGGGCTGGGGGTCCATCCTGCCCACCGTCATCATCGCCAGCATGATGCACGGCGGGCCGGCCGAGAAATCTGGCAGACTCAACATCGGCGATCAAATCATGACCATAAACGGGACGAGCCTGGTGGGTTTGCCTCTCAGCACCTGCCAGAGCATCATCAAGGTACTGCTGGTCCGCTCAGTCCATAAATACAGTTTCTGACCCCCCACGTCAGGATTTCTCTCTCCCGGGTTCAACCTGTTGGCTGATTGAAGCTTTAATAAGTCAACTTTTCAATGTTTTGTTTGCAAATTACCACCAGGTTGGTCGTCTTTGTTTTCCAGGGTCTGAAGTCCCAGTCGAGGATCAAGATGAACATCGTCAGGTGTCCTCCGGTTACCATGGTGCTAATCCGAAGACCGGACCTCAGATACCAGCTGGGCTTCAGCGTCCAGAACGGCATAGTGAGTGTCGGCAGTGATGCGAACAACTCGTCAAAATAATAAATACATTGAAGTAAAATTAAACAAGTTGCAATAAGAGTTGTTGACCAGAACTGTCGTCACCGATGGGTTGAGGCGCCGCAGTTCGGCTGCGCTCCAGGCTGACCTTTGACCTCGTGCGCTTTTCTTTAAACTGTGCAGATCTGCAGCCTGATGAGAGGAGGCATCGCCGAGCGAGGCGGCGTCCGAGTCGGTCACCGCATCATCGAGATCAACGGTCAGAGCGTCGTGGCGACGCCTCACGAGAAGATCGTCCAGATCCTGTCCAACGCCATGGGGGAGGTAAACGCGGCTCGTTGCCATGGCAACGAAAGATCACGGAAACAACCGTTAACGTTCGTTTTTCTCTCCTGCTCCAGATCCACATGAAGACGATGCCTGCAGCCATGTACCGCCTGCTGACGGCACAGGAACAGCCCGTCTACATCTGAACTTTATTTACCGCCGTCCTGGTTACACCCCCCCCCCCCGCGTCCCGTTTATCACTTTGCCTTAATCTGTACAGCTGTCGTAAACGTGATCATCCAGTTTGACAGCAGAAGGCAAACCGTTTCACCGCACTGAGTGTTTCTGTGACATTTTAGGTTCAACCAAAGAGAAGTTGTGGGTTTTTTGTGCTTATAGGTTGCAAACAGAGACGTTAGCTTCGTTCTAATAGCTGTAATATCTGAATGTACTCCAGTCACGATGGACCTATCGTTAGTCAGGCTGAGCCGAGGGGCCAAGAACGTTCAGGTGAAGTGGGAGAGAAAAGGAAAATGCATGTATAAATCTGCAGAATAAACTGAAGGCTAAAACAAAATCTGGTTTCTTGTGTTCAACGGGAAGTTCAAACCTTAAGTTGTTAAATTTAAAAAAGTTGTATTTTCTGTGATTCAGCGAGAACACCGAGCTAAAATGCAATTCCTTCGGCTGCTCCCTTCTTCAGGGTCAACACAGCGAACTAACTCGCACAAATACTTGGATTGTTTTACACCGGATGCTCGTCCTGACACGACAGCCCTGTGTGTGGAGCCGAGCTGCCATCAGGGGTGCAGATGGTGGGGGTTAAGTGCCTTGCTCAAGGGCTCAGTCAGGCAAATGAGGGCATTTCACATTTTCCACCCACATTTTGCTACTGTGACTTTAGCATTGAGATATTTTTAGCCTTAGCACAGCACTTATTTCACCTAGCTTTATGCTACTTCAAGCTTTCAGCTTGTTTTCCCAATTTTAGATACTTAGGTTAACTTTAGGCTAGCATTAAGCTACTTTCACATATTGGATTTTGTTTTGCAACAATTTTGTTTTAGCCAATATTGCCACTTTTAGCTTTTAAACAATTATATTTAACATAATACAAGGCTGCACTACTTTGCATGGTATTTTTTTTTAGCTTTAAGCTAACATTTTACAACTTTTGGCTAGCATTTAGCTACTTTTAAAGATGGCATTTAGCTTTTATGCAACATTTTGATATTTCTAGGTTTAGCTAGGGTTTTCCTGCATTTATATACAATCTGACTACTGTGAGGTTATTGTGGCTAAATCGAGCTTTAGGCGTTAGCATTTTGCTACTTTTAGCTTTTAAATCACATTACGTTCAACTTTTAGATAAGAGTGCTACTTTTACATTTTACTACTTTTAGCTATAATTTTAAAAACATTTACCTTTAGGCAGCTCATGGGAGGTTGTTGCTGAACACTTTAAGCTGCTGTCTTCCATCTGAGGCTGCAATCGATCATGATCACTAACAGGAAGTTGACAGGTCTTGGCCTCGATGAGGTAAATCATAAAACCGATTTAAAAAATACTAAGTGAATTTATGGATATATTTGGACCTCGCTGTGTAACTGACCCTGGAAGAAGAACGTACAAACATTCACGTCCACGATGAGAGGAAGGAAACTTGTTACAGCAGAAACAAGAAGGAAGCTGAAGCTTTAACGAGGGCGGTGTGTAAAAAGTTTTATTAGATTGACTTTTCTGAGAGCGAGCAGTGAAACAGTCAGGAGGTCACAAACTACAAAACACAAAAAGGTGATTGTCGCCACGCTCCCGACACACAAACACTCGATCACACGGGTTTTATACTCGGTGCAAAAATATCTGCCGTAAAAAGGTGAACGTCCGCGGGACAACTCACAAACCAACGCTCGTCCTGCTGGACGTTCAGGAACGTTTCGGAAAGCGTCCAAAAGTCAAATCCACACGAGGGAACGGCGTTTGGGAACAACTTCCACTCCGGTTTGGATCCTCATCTCCGAGGTTTTAGTCTAACGTTTACAACCTTTTCCTTAATTTGACGTCAGCTCAGGATTCTCACCCCGGTTTGATGTTCAGAGCTCGTTCTTCAGAGGTTAAAGCAAGAAGGCACTTGACAGTTTTCCCAGAATGCACTGCGCACCGGTGTTTTAGTCAAAACGGGGTCCGAGACGTCCCATCGGGCGAGCTAAACGAGTTTCTGCCTCTCGTTACGATCGGAAGACGGAGCAGCAGACGGGAAACCAGCCGGGACGTTGTTTGGAAACTTAAAGCTGAAACGGAGAAATTTGGATCGAGTGTCTCGGCTGATTGTGCGAACGTTCAGCCGCAGGTTTGTGTCCTGACCAGATTTGTTCCTCCGGTATCGACCATCTACTTTCAGAACATCTTTTGATTACACTTTCCCTCCAAGCAGCCAGGACACTTTTATCTCCAACAGTTTTTAAGGCTTACAAAGTCTTTGGAAGGACTTTCAGCGATTTCTTAGACTTTAGCTGCTTGCTTTACGTTCTGAATTTGTTGCGGACGTCTTGAACTCTTTCATAAACTCCAGGGCACCACAGCTGCACTTTGACGCCCGCACAGGAAGTCTTTATACGAAAGAAACAACCGACGATCTAAAATACACCGATTATATTTATAAAAAATAGTTTTCTTTTTAAAATGGTCCAAAAAGTGTACCCCTCTAGACTGAACCGTAAACGGGGCGGCTGCCGAGACGGGTACGAATTGACCTGAGGTGCGCTGGGCAACAAAAGAACGCTCAGCCAAGAATGCGGTTTTGCGATAAAAAAAAAAAAAAAAAAAAAGTGGCCTCAAAACGTGGGGGGCAGCTTTCTGGTTGCAGAACTTCATCAGTCGGTGAGACTGCGACGGAAAGTTCACGTATTTACCCACAATCCTGAGCCATCAACCCGGTGAGGGAAACAAAAAGCCCGAAGGTTCGAGTTCTTTGTTGACGAGACTGGCTCATCCCTTGAGTTTAGGAGCCTTTCAGTGCCTGGACTATTCAAAAAAACACGAGTTATTTGTTCCCGCTGACGCTTCCTCTGAGACTCGGCTGGGACGGTCCAACTCTGGAGGCTCAACGGGTTCACGAAGGGAAGCAGAACCCGACAGACGGAATATTTACACATCTCCTGCGTCGGGAGTAAAATCAGCCACTCTGGGCGAAAACATTCTGTACAACATAAAAAACCGACAAGAATAAAATAAAATCTGAAATTAGTGTTGAAGCTGACGTCTCGGCAGGAAATGTGACTAAGGATAAAGTTCAGAGAAGCTGGAACCGGGGCAGCTGAGCTCACTTCCTGGTTCTGGGCGCCTCACAGCTCGGTGTCGTTGTACTTCTGAGGGTTGTAGTAGCCCTTCCTGGCCTGGTCCGACAGCTGGCGCCGGTACTCCACCTCCCGGTCCTCGTGTCCTCTGCTCTCAGAGTACGGCGGCCTGGGCATCGCCTGCGGCTCGGCGTTGGACCTGACGACAGACAGTGGTCAGCTTTGGGTCAGAACCAAACGGGTTCTGGTTCCACAGACTGAGAGGAGACTCACCCGATCGGCTGCGGGCGGTTCAGGTTGGGTTTCGGCAGTTTCACTGGGACGGCGTAAATGTCTGGGTGCTTCTGGGCAATTTCCAACTGAGGAGAAAGAACCCAGATCGGTCAGAACCGACGGTTCTGGTGAAGAAAACACTGAACACCACACGAACCCGAACTACGAGGAAAAATGTTCTGGCTGCAGGAAACGTTGCATTTAAAAATCAAAAACATTATTTGAAACTTCAGCAAACTCACCACTGTCTTCCTTTTAGCTAGCATAGTGCTACCTTCACCTAGCTTTATGCTACATTCAGCTAGCATTTAAATATCTTTAGCTAGAGTTTAGCTACTTTTGGCTTATAAACATTTTAATACGTTAAGCTTTAAGAAAATGTTTTGCTACTGTGACTCAACACTGAGGTATTTTTTGTTTTAACAGTATTTATTTCACCTAGCTTTATGCTACCTCTAGCTATTAGCTAGGGTTTTCCTGCTTTTAAGTAAAATCTTACTACTGTTCAGTCATTGTGGCTAAATCTAGCTTTAGGCTAGCATTTTGCTACTTTTAGTTTTTAAATCACATTACATTATATTTAACTTTAGATTAGATTGTGCTACTTTTAGCTAGCACTTAAAAAACATTTTCCTTTAGGCTAGCATTTCACTAAATTACCATTTAACTACCTTTATGCCACATTTAGATATTGTTGTGCCACTTTTGTCTTTTAGCTAATGTTTGGCTACTTTTAATTTTTGATTAGTGCTTTGCTATGCTTAGCTAATGTTTTACTACTTTTAGTTAGCATTTGTTTCTATCAGTGTACTCGTTAGCGACGTGCTTGTTAATGGCGTGCCAATTAACATGCTCATCAACTGCATGCTCATCAAATGCGTGCTCGTTAACTGCATGCTCGTTAGTGGCGTGCTCGTTAACTGTGTGCTCGTTAGTGGCGTGCTCGTTAACTGTGTGCTCGTTACTGACTCGAGCGCTTTCTGCCTCCTGCAGCTCCAGAAGCCTCTGAGCGCGGGCCAGGTGGTCCATCTTCTCAAACGCTTTAATCTGGAATAAAAAAAAAGTGGTTTAAATTAATTAATTCTGGATGTGAAATAAAATAATTTATTAAAAAAAGGGCAGATGGAACGATTCAGGTCAAGGTGAGGAGAAACCGATACAGAGCGATGAAGATGGTGAGGATGACGAGTTCCCACACTTTCTGATTTAATATTTAAATTTTTCACGACACTTTCAACCATTAAGAACAAATATTTTCTACTTTCCAACAGAAATATTTTTTAAAAGCATCTTAAAACGATAAAAATTATGAATTGTTTTAATTTTTTCATAAAATTCAAGACTCGTGTTTTCAGTTTTAATTAATAAATTCACTGAAATCAAAGTCAAATTTCTGATATAATCTTTCTTAAACTATTTATTGGGTTAAATTTTTCGTTCTGTTGGAGAACTTCTAATCAATATTCAAGATTATTTGTTTTAAATGACTAACCTAAATATTTTGTATAAAAATGTAATTTTTAAAACTCAAAAACAAGTTTTTTTATTATTTGTTCAGATTTTCCCCTCTTCCTCACTAAATAAAAAGCTGCACACCCTTAAAGGCGGCAGGTGAGCATGACTGTTAGCAAAATATCTGAAACCACTGAACAGAATCGTAATCATCAACTCGATTCAAGATGGCTGCCGCAGTTGGGCAACATCAACTGTTAAAAAAAAATAAAAGCAGCCACAACTCTTAAATTTACAAACAAAGAGCTGAAATTTGGTGTGGTAGTAGCCGAGAGTCGTCTCCAACACGTCGTCTAAGCACTAACTGATAACATGCGATCATTTTATAAAGAAATTATAGTTTCGGGCAAGTAAAAAAAAAAAATACAAATGAACATTTTCTGCTTAAATTCTTGATATTTTCAAGACGAGAACAGAACTAAACGCCTTGTTTTTGAATTAATGCAGATTTTTTAACGTTTGGAAGCTCCGTTTATTTTGTGAAGGAACTCTGAGGGAAACACTCGATGTGAACAGACATTTACCTGATGACCTGCTCTCTGAGTCGTTACGAGAAAGAAGGAAGAAGAAAGAAAATACATTACAAAGACCAGAAACGAGCGACAGGAGGAAACGAGCTGAGGTTCTGGTCCCAACCTTGCCCAGGAAGGACTTGTTGGCGGGGTCCTCCTCCTCCTTCTTGGCGCTCTGATCCTCCGCCGACTGGCTCAGACGGGCCACGACGGGCTTCAGGGCCACGGGCGGGGGCCCCGGCCGGTTGACGCCTGCCGCGTCGCTGCTGATGGTGCTGCTGGAGCGAGACTCGTAGCTCCGCGTCGAGTCGGAGCGAGTCTGGGTGCGGACCTGGAACAGGAACAGACTCGAGCCGTCAGACGGGACTTGGTGAGAACCTGCTGCAGGTTTAGTTTAAAAGTTCTTCACGCTTTGTCTCATCTACCAAGCTTGTAGCAAAACAAAGTTTGTAGCTAGCCTTTAGCTATTCTTAGATTTAAAGTAGCCTTTACTGCATTTAGCTACCATTTTGGTATTTTTAGATTCCCCGTAGCTTTTACTAGCTTTTAGCTAACATTTTGCTGATATTGCTACTATGTTCCATGCATTTCTTTTGGTACTTTCGGCTTTTAGCTAGCCTTTTACACCCTTTAGCTTTTAGCTAATGTTTTGCTACTTTATGTTCCATGCATTTCTTTTGGTACCATCTGCTTTTTTTTTTTTTTAACCTTTTACACCTTTTAGCTTGCCTTATGCTACTTTTAGATTTGTAGCAAACCTTTTAGCATTTAGCTAGCTTTTTATGCTACTTTTGGAATTCTAGCTAGCCTTTTTTTCTAGCATTTTATACCTTTTAGCTTGTCTTATGCTACTTTTAAATATGTACCTAGTTTTTTATCTTTTAGCTAGCTTTTTACAGATTTTAGCTTGCCTTATGCTACTTTTAGATTTGTAGCTAGCCTTTTAGCTTTTAGGTATCCTTTAGATACTTTTAGTTCCCAACTATGTTTTTTCTGTTTAGTTTCTAGATAGCTTTTGGCATGATTAAAAATTAGCTAAACATTTTCTCTTTGTAGCTTTGTAGCTAACGTTTTGGTAGATTTTAGCTATTCTTTTAATACTTTTGTTGACTAGCCATCTTTTTACCATTTGTAATCCCCAACTATATGTTGCTACAATTAGTTTTTGGTACCATTAGCTTTTAGTTAAACTTTTGCAACTTTTAGCTTTAGATAATCTTTTGCTGCTTTTAGAGTTTAGCTAATGTTTTGCTTCTTGTGCCTTTTTTAATTGACAGATTTTACAGCAGATGGACAAACTAACAGAAATATCAACTTAAGCTTGATAAAACCTTCAGTTTAATAAAAAAAAAAAAAAACAACAACAACACACAGCCGAACTTTGACACAGAACCTGAAGCGCAGAGCAGTTTTGGGTTAATTTCACCTGGACAAGAACCCCTGGAGGGTAAAACCAGTGGAGCTGCTGGTGGAGGGGAGCAGGTGGAGGTTCTCACCTTCGGGGGTTCAGGGATGAAAGATGGGGGAGGGCTGGGGTCCCTGTTGAGCATCTCTCTGCTTCCTGCTATCTTCATGCGTGGAGGGACAGGGTGGGGCCTCTACACGGACGCACAGTTATGACATCACAGGTTAGAACATGGAGGTTGGTAATGTGACAGACTTATCGCAGACCAACGCCCCACCTCGTCCGGCAGCACGGGCTCCGATGACCGGCTGATGGCCGACACAGGCTGTGGCTCATCCAAGGGCTCGTCCAGCTCGTTGTCAGTGTAAGCCCCGCCCTCGTCCGCCGTGTCGTCATAGTCGCTGGTCAGGCGGCTGTCCATGCTCAGGTAGTCGGCGCTCATGGCTGACAGGTAGGACATGCGGTCGTCGTGGAGATCCAGGTCCTCTTCTGAACCGTCCATCTGGAGAGCGAGGAGAGAAACGAGATCGTTTTGATTCGGCCAACGACAACGAACACCTGGTCGCCCGGTCCGACGCCTCACCTTGCCCTCAGACACCCACACGGCTCGGTCCTGCTGCTCCCGGATCGAGTCCTTCACGCTGCCGTACCACGCGTCGTTCGCAGCGTTCAGATCGATGGTGGCTAAATTTACACAAAAACCAGTCAAGAAAATCATCTTCATGGAGCCGGACCGAGCCCGGGTCGGAGCCGGTCCGAGCCCGGGTCGGAGCATCCCTCACCTGTGAAGAGGTGGGAGCAGGTCTTCTTCAGCCTGACGGCCTGCTCGTAGAGTTTGCGCGCGCTGCGGTTGGACCCGGGTATGAGGCGGTTCCTCATGGTCTTCACGCCCTGTTTGCTGTCCGGGTTCAGGAAGACGACGATGGGGTACCACTGCGTGTAGTTCAACGTGTCCACGGCTTTTGGAGTGACGTCCAGCAGAGCGTGGCGGTCCTGGAAACACAGGGGGCGGAGCCTAAACGTTAGCATTTCTCAAGTGAAATGACCCGAGTGATCAACAACAGCTGAAGCTCGTTGAGGAAGCTAAAATAGAGCTGCTGAAGTGAAAACGAGCAGAATAGAGGCCAAAAAGATGCTAAAATGAGCAAACAAGCTGAAATGAGCTGAACAAAAGCTAAAATTAATAGAACCTGAAAACTAAAAACAAAATAGTAGCTGAAAGCTAAAACCAGCAAAAGTAGCGTAAGAAATAAAACTAAGTCAGAAGCTGAAAGTTTGAAAGAGAAAAAAACATTTTTGAAGGATCTGACGAGACCTCTAGTGTGAATTTCACTTCAAGTTAAAATATTTTGAAAAGTAAAAAGGTATAAAAACAAAGTCACAGCATCCTCTTCCTAGATGTTATTGTTTTTCTTTTACATTTTATTGTTGGATGTAACTGGGACCTTGTGTACATAATTTCGTTCCACCACATGTACCACATGGGCTGCGAATGACAAAGAATCTGACTCTGAACGAGCAGATTGATCTGATACCTCAACAGTTAAAGTTTATCCAACTATTCAGAAGTGGATTGTTAAAATTGTACATTAGAAACTAAAACCAGTAAAACGACACGGACGTGTCCCGACGGCGAGACTGCCGATCCGTACCTGCTCGATGATTTGTCGGATGGTGTTGAGTCTCACCACTCCAGAAGATTTATCACTTCCTGCGTCCTTCGGCTCCGTTTCTACAGGAAGAAGAATTTCACCGAATCAAACGGAGGATTTTTTTGTCCGTTGGTAAAAATTAAATCGACCGACGGACGGACACTTACTGGCGACGACGAACTCGTCCGGAAGGTCGTTGGCCAGTTTTTCATTCACCGCGTCGGAAATGGGCCCAAAGATCACCACGGGTCTCCTGAAACCAGCTGAACCAACATCAGAACATTAATACAAACAAAAGAGAAAATACTATAAGATTCTGCAGGGAAGCCAGAAAAACAGAGTTTATGTTCTCAGATACCTTCTCGTAACACCACCCTCTCGTAGGCGGGGAACCGTGTGCTGACCGGCGCCACGCTCATATCCTCTCGGTTCTTACGGAGGTCTTTCTTCTTCGCCGCCCTCTGACCTCTCGACCTCCAGAAGTCTCCTCTGTCGTTGCCCGATGCGGCGCGAGCGGCGTTCTGGACGTTCGCCATCTGTTCCGCCCTGGGACACAAAAACAGTGAAACGAACGCTGAAAGTCCTGCAGCTATATTTGCTTTAGTTTGCAGCTCTGCCTTTCGACTCTACCGAATGGAAGCGAGGATCGCAGAACTAAGAGGCGTGGAGCGCAACGCTCGACACGTCCTGTTCTATAAACAAGACCTCAGTTTAGTGATCCTTTTTGTTTTAACTACCGTTTTAAAACCATACACAAAGTTGCCTTGCGTCATCGTCGACCTCCTCTCGGTAAGAAATCGGTCGGGTGGTGGTACAGGCCGGAGGTCATCACTTCATCACATTACTGAGCTGCAAAGACGGGCTCCTTTTCAAAACCTCCTTCCTTAGATAACTTTTACCAGCTGGCTTTTATAATGACTTCTGTTGTGACTTGGTGCTATACAAATAAACTATTAAATTAAAACAAAGGTACATCAAGGGGTGGGTTGGCTTCAACCCCCCTTGATGTCTTGGTCCATTCATCCCAAGTTAAAATACTTCAGCCGACATTTACGAACCAAACGGAAAGAAACAAGAATGAAAATGGATCCACGTTTCATTAACGTACTTTACGGCAATAATTCATGGTAGAACTAAGCGATTTCCAAAAGTGCTCATCTTATTTGTCTTGAAAACGAATTAATATTTAATGTCATTGAGATTAAGATTTTATGCTTTTTTCCATGACACTTAAGACCTTAAATTTTGTTAAATCTATTTAGGCCTGTCACGATAAATTTTGCTGGGCGATTAATTGTCTCAGAAATTATTGCGATAAACGATAATATTGTTTGAAATTTTTACAATAACTAGTAATTATTGTCCAATTTAAGAAGAAATGTTGGTTATTTGTTTTGTGTGTAGTGCCTTTTTTGACCACTGGATGGCAGTATAAGACTGAACAGAGGAATGGATAGTGAGGGAGCGAGCAGCGTGTCTCCAAGAAAAATGGGAGGGAGGCCCCTTGACGTGACATGGGCTGTCCTTCCTGTTTTTCTGTTCTAAAAAATGGCAGACACTACATGTGTTTTATTAAAAAAAAATAATCTGTAATCAAGTTCTCAGCTTCTTTTTGCAGAGAAAAACAACTTTTTAGACGAAAGCACCGGTTTCAACTGTGAATTCTGGAGCTTCGACAAGACGGAGATTTTTCACCGAGGTCAGCCTGTTAGGTTGGCTCGTATCTTAGCTGCTTTTAACGATCCAAAAACGTGATTTTGGATCGTTAAAACAGATTTTAAAGAGAAAAGAAAACAGTGAAGAGCACCGGAGTTGAACTTTTTGTCCTCCAGTGTCTTCAGTAGAAAGAGAGACGAAGAAACGATAAAGCCGATCAATGAAAATGAGGTGGATAATTTCATTTATCATGCGATTGATTTATTGTTCATCACGACAAGCCTAAATCTATTTGTTTTTAATGCCCCGAGGGAAACCCTGTAATGGTGCGCTGAGTGCGCTCCATCAGAAAATGAGCTGCAACACCCCTCAAGCTCGGAAATCCAACTCAAAGTTGGGAGGTTCAACTCCAGTTAAAGCTAAATAAATCCTACTTTCCTGCAAATTTATTTAAGTATTTAAATAAAGTGGCTTTAAAATCTCGTTTATCGTGCAGCACGTTGATCAGCTTGTGCGACTCTAAATAAACTGACACTGATGCTCAGACCTGCTCTTGTTGGGAATGATTCCTTTCTCCAGCAGCTGGTTGTCCTTGTCGGTTCGGATCGCCAGCCAGTGGCCCAGCTTGCCGTCGTAGAGCGTGTCGGTGACTTTAAAAATCTCCCCTCTGGTGAAAGGAAGGCTCTGCGGCGCCTCCTTCTCGTACTCAAAGTGGGTTCTGATGAAGAACGAGTCGCCGCGACCAGAAGCCAAAATATCTTCATACACTGAAACAGGAAAATTATTAAACAAACAATAAACAGAACCGAGTTTATTCGGTCTGTGAAGGGTACAACGCCACACAACAACAAATGCACTACTTTGTTTTTAACATAAACCACTTTAAGGAGACATTTACGGACCTTCAGGTTTGCTCTGAGCCAGAATGGTAATGTCCTCTCCTTTTGGGATGTCCAAGAGATACAGGACGGCGTCTTCACGCACCATCCCTCTGAAGTCGACAGTGTTCACCTGAAACAGACAGTAGGTATTATTGTCAGTATATTACTGTTGAATATTTTCTTTAAATCCTTCTGAGGACAGCACCTTCATGATCTGATCTCCCATACGGAGACCCTCCTGCTCGGCTGCGCTGTCCTCCTGGACACCGGCGATGAAGATGCCAACATCGTTTCCTCCCGCCAGCCTCAGACCCACGCTGTCGCCTTTCTTGAAGCGCACCATCACCGTGTTCGGCCTACGTTACACAAACACATAAAGGGTTAACAAAATTATTTGATTCCTCTGAACAGAAATGTTTAATGGAATACTGACCCATAAACTTCCTGGTCTTCTATGCTTGGTTTGAGTTGGATCTTTGGTGGAACCTGGACCCTCGGAGGAGGGGCTGGTGCTGCAGAGTCAAAGGTTTACTTAAAATGTGTGCTTTTCTGGAGTTTATTTGTGTAATATTTAGAGATGTTTACCTGGTGGCGTCTCAGATCGAGGCTCCTCCCTCTCTGCTTGCAAAGGGGGCGTGGTTTCAACACTTCTATCTGCACCTCTGAATGGTGTCGGCATGGCACCCATTTTTGCCAATCTGTTAGGCGGGTCCTCTCTGGTAAGAACACGGTTAAATTTAAAAGCAGAAAATCCTGGTGACCACATTTGACAATAAGACAGGAGTTCCTCAAGATCCACTGCTGGGACCACTTTAATTTGAAACTACTTGAACCTGCCAGGCTCAGTCATTCCTTCAAATGGCTTCTCCTAACTCCCGATACGCCGAAGAAACTCGACTTCATCTTTGTTCTTCTCAAATGACCGAGAACAATCAGTTTTTCCCTCTGACATCTGTTGGTTTTCTCCAACAACCAGTCCATTTAATCAAATTTCAATTCAGCAGCTTGTAGAACCTTCAGCACCAGGAACTCAGTGGTTTTCTGTTTGTGGTTGTTGGAGGACTTTTGACCCACTCTTCTTTCCATCACTGGTTTTTGCTCAGCTCTCTGAAGGTCCAATCATAGCGTTTCAGTTAGGTTGAAGTTCTGGACTCTGGACCATTGCAGCACCTTGGTTCAGTTATTCTTGACCCATTCTGTTGTAGATCAGCTGCTGTGTTTGGGATCATGGCTCTGTTGGATCCAGTTTGGTCCAAGTTTCAGCTGCTGGACAAATGGACTTAAATTTGACTCGGAACCCTTTGGTCTACAGAAGAGTTCATGGTCCACTCAATGACTGCAAGTAGTCCAAACCATCAGCCCTCCACCACCATGCTGGTTTGGTTCCCTCTAAATATGGTGCTGTGCATTATGGGTAAACAGCTCTACCAGGTCTCATCTGAGGGCACTGGACATGGTTCTACAAGTCTTGTGGTTCGTTCAGATGAGGCTCGACTACCTGAAGTTCTTCTCTTGTTCAGTCTTTTCCTAATTATCCCTTCATGAACTTTGACCTTTAACCTGCTGAGACCTGTAAGTCATTGATGTCTTTCCATCTTGGCAATATGTCAACACATATACGCATAAAATAAAAGTAAATGAATCCAGATGTTTTTGGTCTTTACAAAATAAAAAACAAACAATTAAATTAACTTCAATAACTCATGCTCCTCAAACCACTAATCTAAACAGGAGGTTCTGGACAATTTCAGCTCGGTAACACAGATTAGTGCCGTTTTAGTTTTAAACGAAACAATCCGACACTGGTTTAACAGACAAAACAGTTCAAGTCTAGACTGTTCTGGTTTGTGCTCCTAAAACAAAGAAATGAGCCACATAGAAGAGGCATCCTTTTCTACATTTAAGAATCTTTCCAAACCAGTTCTGAAGGGTTTCGTGTTACAAAAGCTTGAAAACCGTTTTAAATAAATGCGCCTGCCTATAAATAAATGCTAATACGCGTGTAACCATGATTCAAGCATTTAGAGTATGAACGATGAGCACTTCTCTTAATAAATCCAAGATTAGGGACGTTTTAATATTATTACTGTGGCGTTTTTGATATTGTAAACCAAGAGGGCTGAGCTTCCGGAGGCATTCATCAACATAATCCTGCATTATGCTGATTGTGCCGCGTCCAGCCACACAGTGGCGCCCGACTCGGGTCAGTAGCAGCATTTAAATGTGCAGCAGACGACGCTTTCTAGTCGCCGTTATTTCTTAAAAAACACCAACAAAGTAAATAAAACAAGGAGGAGCAAATTTAAAGTGTGAGGCATGAACTAAAACCATTTCAGAACTGGAATCACCATGACAACCGAGAAGCTCCAACACCTTCAAGGTGGACTGACACCTGCAGCTGTCCACATGGAGACAAACGTCCACCGACGAAACGTTTGGCAGTCGGACGAGACGAAGTCTGAGCCGTTTGGACCCAGTGACGATGGTGAGGCTTTCAGACCTGAGCACACTGAACCAGCTGTCCGGCACGGCGGTGGAGGCATCATGCTGTGGTGCCGACATGAATGGAGGACTGCCTCAAAGTTCTATAACTTCCCCTCTAACCAACAGGATGGTTGAAACTTGGACACAGTTGGGTCCAACAGGACCATGATCCCAATCATCAGAACCGGTTTTGGATTGGATAAATCAGACTGACTTTAAGGTTCTGAACGGCCTTCCAAAAGCCTGGACCCGATTAGAAAGCTGTGGACTCTGATGGAACGCCGGATGTGTGTGCATGAGGCCAACCAATTTAAAACAATGTTATCAAACATCAGCCAAAATTCTACCAGAAGCTCGTTGGAAGCAAAGTCTGAGGTCCGACTGAGAGACTAGCCCAAATATCAGAGGGGTGTATGTAAATATCTGAGCCTGTATGTATATTTTAGACCTTATGTGGACAGTCACTGAAGTGTTTGTTGTAGAATCTGTAGAAAATTAAATACTTTAAAATAAATCATCAAAAGTCTAAATTAGTCTAGACCCAGGAGGTTCTGAAGACGTCGGCCTGCGGCTGAACGTCGACTCAGACCGCGAGGATTTGATTTCACTTGTTTGGTTAAAAAGGCAAAGCGTTGCTTTAAAGTGGAGCGTTGAGAAATAAAAAGTGTGCAGAGAAGCCAAACATGAGGTGAAAATTCAAACAAGCAGAACAATTAGCAAAACTGTAGCTAAAAACTAAGGAAAAAACATAGCTAAGAGCTAAACCCATAACTAAAAGCTAAAATAAGCAAATATGTAGCTAAAAACTAAAAGATGCATATTTTCTTATTTAAGCTGTTAGCTATGGGTTTTGCATTTATATTTTAGCTAACAACTATAATGAACTAAACCATAGCTAAAGTCTGAAATTACCAAAATTGTAGGTAAAAGATAAAATGATCATATCTGTAGATAAAAGCTAAAATTTAACAAAATCAGCACCTAAAAGTAGAAATGAGCAAAACAACAGTTAAAAAGAACTGTAGTTAAAAGCTAAGAAAAAAAGCCAAAATTAAGAGTTAAACCCATACAAAACAAGGCTAAGCTTAAATAAGCAAATATGTATCTAAAAACGAAAAGCTAAACATTTGCTTAAAGCGTTTAGCTAGGCTTTGCTAATACTTTTTGTTCAGCTAGTTTGAATTTTCAGCACGTTTGGCTTCTCTATACTAAAAGCCATGAGCAAAACCATAGCTAAAATCTGAAATGACCAAATCCGTAGCCAAAAGCTAAAATAAAAACAAACGTTGGATTTAAAAGTTGAAATAAGACCTAAAAGAAATAGACCTAAAAATGTAGCTAAGAGGTGAAAATGAGCAGAACTGCAGCTAAAAGCTAAAACGAGAACGTCTGAAGAATTTGAAGTGAAAATATTTTATGAAAAATTATATATATATATATATATATATATA